AAAAAAAAAAAAAAAAAAAAGAAAAAGCTAAACATCATTACTAGAGGTCTGGCACAATTGGCTGGGACGGTGGCTCACACCTGTAATCCCAACCCTTTGGGAGGCCGAGGCAGGCAGATCACAAGGTCAGGAGATTGAGACCATCCTGGCTAACACAGTGAAACCCCATCTCTACAAAAAAAAATTAGCCAGGCATGGTGGCACGCGCCTATAGTCCCAGCTACTCGGGAGGCTGAAGCAGGAGAATCGCTTGAACCCAGGAAGCGGAGGTTGTAGTGAGCTGAGATCGCACTACTGCACTCCGGCCTGGGCGACAGGGCAAGACTCCGTCTTAAAAAAAAAAAAGGCACAATTATATAATGGAATATCCTCAGTTGTTAAAAAAGAATGAATCCCAGGCTGAGCAACATGGCAAAACTCTGTCTCTACAAAAAAAAACTGAAAAAATTAGCTGGTTGTGGTAGCCTTTGACCATTATCAGAGGTCTGGTTAAGTAAAATCTGGCACAATTAATCACATAGTGGAATATTCTGAAGTTATTAAAAAAAATGAATCCCAGCCTGAGCAACATGGCAAAACTCCATCTCCACAAAAAAATACAAAAAATTAGCTGGCAGTGGTGGCATATACATATAGTCCTAGCTATTAGGGAAGCTAGGGTGGGAAAATTGTTAGAGCCTGAGAGGTCAAGGCTGCAGTGAGCCATTAGTGTGCCACTGCACTCCAACCTGGATGACACAGCGAGACTGTCTCAAAAAAAAAAAAAAAAGAAGAAGAAGGGAAAAAAAAAAAAAAAAAAAAAAATCTGTGATGACATGAACTCATGCAGACAGTATCTTTAATATCTCTATACGCATATACACTTACCACATACACAAATAAATAAAAAATATATATATGCACACATTCATATAAACAAATAAAACTTACACTGGAAAAATTTTGGAGGAGGGGAGGGACCCTACCTTTAAAAATTTAATAAACAAAAAGTAAATCAGTAGGTTAACATATTTAATTTAGGCAGACCTTAAATCTGGAGTGAATGGACTCAAGAAGAGAAGACCAAAACCAGCCTTGGATTTAAAAAAAAAAGTGGCAGCTGTTGAGTGGGAACAAACATAGTTTTATTTTTTGTTTTCCTAATTAGAGCATCTAAAGAAAGGCGTTTCAGATAGAGCTCAGTGGTTCAAGCCTGTAATCCCAGCATTTGGGAGGCCAAGGTGGGCAGATCACAAGGTCAGGAGTTCGAGACCAGCCTGACCAACATGGTGAAACCCCATCTCTACTAAAAATACAAAAATTAGCTGGTCATGGTAGCAGATGCCTGTAATCTCAGCTACTCAGGAGACTGAGGCAGAAGAATCGCTTGAACCCGGGAGGCGGAGGTTGCAGTCAGCAGAGATCATGCCACTGCATTCCCGCCCGGGCAACAGAGCAAGACTCTGTCTCAAAAAAAAAAAAAAAAAAAAAAAAAAAAAAAAAGCGGGGGCGATGCATTTCAAGCTAGCTTTAGGAAGAAGCAATTTCTGTAATCTTTGACTCTGAAAAATGATCATGGTCAATTCATTATTTGTTACCCAATAAAGTTAATGGCATAAAACAAAACCAAATTCTTCAAATTAAGTTTTAAGTTTTTTTTTCTTTAATGGAACCAAAAGTCACTAATCATTTACTTATTCATCAAAATTTGAGTGCCAATTGTATCTAGACTTTTAAGTTTGACTTAAAAGAGCATTTTCTCTCAGAAACTATCACTTTGTACTCACCAAGGTAATAGATTCTGTCTGAATGAGGCCCGTCTGGATCATTCCTCTTCACAAACATGAAATCATGTGGTGCCTTAGCCATCATGTAGCCATGATATTTTCTGGTATCAGCAAGCAGCTTTTTAAGCTGACTCCAGGAATACCGCTCAACATAAAACGGCTCCAATTTAGGCCGATCCTGTGATTCAACATTCTCCTCACAGTCTGCAGTTTCAAATACCTCAACACCCAGCTGTTCTGTTTCCATTGCTGCTGCCATGTTGCATTTTCCTAGAAAAACAAGGCACACTAAGCTGTTCATAGGTCTGTCTTTTATTATCAGAATGATTCTCTGATAGGGTCAAAGAACGAGGAGGGGTGGGGAGGGCAAGAAAAAAATCCTTTTTAGCACAGCTGCAATGAAACCCAGTAAGAAAAGCAATAGCTCTCCCTTCTGTGTTGTTTAAAAATGAAATTAAAAAAAAAAAAATTTGAGATCATGTTACTTCACAGTGCCTATAAATCCCTGTGGTAACTTTTATAAAAGGCTCTCCTTAGGTATCTCTTGCCAAAACTCCCTTTTCTTTCCCACACTGGAAGGAAACAGGCCACTTGCCAGTTGGCTGCTACGCTCCACCCCAAGAGCATGTCAATAGTGAAGGTAACTGTGCCAAGGAAACTAAGTGTTTTGCATTTTAAAAAGTAACACATTTGGTAAGTGTAGATTTTTTTCGGATAACAGACAACCACAGCAAATGAGAACAGTAATAAAATTGTCAAAAACAATGTGCATGTAATAACCTTCCTACTTACCAAGATAATATATTGTTTCCTTTTAAGCAGAATGCCAAACAAAACACTTAACTGGCTGGTAGATTTTTGAGTCTTCTGCTTTTGCCTAGACATCACTATCATGATCACTTGTAGTGACTTTATTATTTTAAGGAAACTTATGTCACTATTCTTACCAATCATACAACATAAACTGATGAAATGACAAAAAAATATACTATCTTAAAGTGGCTTTAATTAGCTGAAGCAGTTGATACAGAAAGCATTTAATATTTGTACCAACAGTATTTTGATAAAAGTATAAACTGACATCTACTGGTTCAACCCCTAAATAGTGTTTAATATCTCATCTGTTAGTTTATCCTCATTTCACAAATCCAGAAGTTGCATTTCTCCTTTATCTTTTCCAACATTTAACATGAGCAAAGTATCAAATAACAAAAAGTGTTATCACAAACCAGTGTGAATTCTGACATATATTATTCATGACACTGCCAAAAAGGAGGACATAAAAATTCTGGGCAATTTGTTCTTTTTGAACTAAGAAATGTCAAAGACATGTGGACTTGGGAGATAAACTAAATTGCATTTATGTAACAAAATTTAACATAATCATTAACTACTTCTATAATAATCATCAATATATGGGTGTTCATTTAATATATCTTTTTAAAATCCCAAATTTGAAGGTTAACATAACTAAAAGTTATCAGGTATGGATTATGAATTAGTCCATTAAGCACACGTTACCGGCATGCCAAAGAACTGAATGACCTGTGTGTGCAGCTTTTGCGTTTTTTCATGCTAAAGCTACCTATGTTACCATTTTCAACATAACAGTACCAAAGAGGTCAGAAAACCTATTAGAAAGTTAAATCAGGTATACTTTTAACGTTATGACAAGTGAGCATTCACTTTGAATGACTAAAACCAAAACAGCTTGGCAGAGAAAATAAAAGTCATTTGGCTCAACGGGTATTCAGCATACTGATATTTACTGACAGTATATGACTCTGGGGTTATATACTGTAATATGTTTATCTGCCCAACTAAAACCTAGTGGAGGTCTACCTCCTACCAAATGTCAACAGACCCAGTTTTATAGATAATAGACTGAGGGACAAATGTGAGAAGAACCTATACAAATTAGGCTTATTTTCCTTAACTACTTTAGTGTTGTGTTTGGAAGTTCATCTCCAAACTATGCTTGAAAGATTACGGCTAAGGAACAGAACAGGGAAGCACTACAGAAAGACCTCCTCCCAAGCCTGAGTGTCCAGTTTATTTACTGTTTTTAGACAAGTCTCACTGTTGCCGAAGTTGCGGTGTAGTGGCACAGCCTTGAACTCCTGGAGTCAGGGGATCCTCAGGCCTCAGCCTTCCGAGCAGCTAGGACCACAGGAATGCATCACCATACCCAGCTACTTTTTAAAAACTTTAGACAGGGTGGGGGGGGGGTCTCACTATGTTGCCCAGGCTGGTCTTGAACTCCTGGGCTCAAGCAATCTTCCTGCCCCAACCATAAAGTGCTGGGATCATAGGCATGTGTCACCTCGCCTGGCCATGCCCAGCTTCTTCAGTTATACAATCACTTCGTACCTTTTCCTATGTAAAAGGTACATTAGCTTACATTTAAATTGCCTGGTAGTCCTGAATCGTACTGATCCCTGGACACCCTCTCTATGCACATGCACACATGTGTACACGTACAAACACAGTACAGTTCAAATGATACTCTGCTATTCCGTATGTTCGCAGCAAATGTACATCCTGCATTTTCTAGGATAGACCTGATTATTATATTAGTAATTTGTGAAGATGTTTGGTAAGTGACTTAATTTCTTATTATATACAAATACATTCTCAAAATAGGTGACCTGAATTTTGTCAAAAAGAAGAACAGGGTCAGTGTACCTTCTCAGCACAATGCATGCATTTCCCTGCCCCACCTACCTCGTCACTTAGGTAGCTTCCCTGGTGCCTACCTGATTTTATTTTCATCTGCTCAGATCTCTTCCACATTCAAAGAGATCTTTTTCAAGTGACTCAACTTCAAGCATAGAATCCCTCTGCTCATCCTGCTCTTCTCATAGGAATCTTTCCTTTTCTCACCATCCAATCCTGCTCACCACGATAATGAAATAAGATTTTGATCATTAAGATGGACCACATGTGGCCAAAAACAGAAGCCCCAAAACAGTAAAAACTGACACCGAAATACCACTTTTTGGGACAACATATAACGCCTAAATTATTTTGTATCTGCATTTTATGTTATCAAAATTTAATAATTATATTATTTCAGCGATGTGTAGCCCAATATAGTCAAAAGAATATCCTCAGATGGTAAATCTTGGTGTCTAGACATACATTAAAAGAAAAATCATGGAAAGGTTTTAAAAAGTTATAAAAGGCATACAGATGTGAAGTTGCTGAGTGACTATTGCAAATCATCAAAAATGGCAGATAATTTATTTTTATGTGCCTATTCCTGTTCCTTTTATGCAATAATGTCATAAAAAGCTGGTTGGAGACAGAATCAACTCAGTAGGATAGCCAATAAGAATCACAGGCCATTTTTGCAGAAAGGGAAATTAACTCGAATTCAATAATTTAAGATTTTTCGCGAGATAAAGAATTTTCTATTCATCTTAAGTGCATTCCGTTTTTGCCTTTTTCCTTGATGCATTACTCCGAGAATAACTGAAACAGGTAACTTTTATGGAAAAACTGCATTAAACTTGTTGAAGTTCTGGCTTAGATTAAAAAAAGAAGGAAGGTCTGCTATTATATGTTATTTTACCAGTTTTAATTTTGGGCCCCCATAACCCAAGGAGGTGATGGAGGGATGGGATGGGAAAAGCTAAGGGACAAGTGTAGGAAAAACAGCGAGGTTATGGAAGCACAGCAACAATAAAACTAAGATGTCAAGACACCTTCTCATATCACTAAGCCTCTTACTCAGAAATAGAGCACGTTGACTCGGAAAATAGCTTTAGGTCTCTTGGGTTTGTCCCCATTCAAGTGAAATTTCTTAATTTTTAACTCGAGGGCCAAACAGTCGTCCGCTTAAACACCTGAAGCTACCTGACTCTTTATGGTTCGCACCCAGCTGAGAGGTTTGCTAGCACAGAGGGGCCCAGGTCTTCAAAAGCCATGAACGAGGAAGAGGAGAGGCGCAGCAGAGGATGTCGAGGGGGAGATGCCGATCTCACAGGCACGTGAGATGAGGTGTGGCAGGAAAGGAAGGCGTCCTCCTGCGAGTGGGTGGAACGGAACGGGAGCGGGCGGTGAGCAGGGAGGGGATCAACCCAGCAAGAGAGGGGAGGGAAGAAAGACCGCCAGCTGGGAAACCAGGCAATCTGAGCGCGAACCCCATCGGCCCAGTCGGACTGGGGCAGATCCCTTCGCCTCCGTGCGCTTCCGCTTCCTCGGCCGAAAGCGCTGACAACACCCGGCCTCCCAGCCCCAGCGGGGCTCGATTCAGGCAACGGACGGGGACGGCCCGAGGCCGGCGCCCGGGGCTCGGGGGGCGCCCCGCGAACGGCGGCTGACTCGGAATCTGAGCTTCAGCTTCCCCTTCCGGCCAGCGGGGCCCCGCCACCGGCTCTGCCCCGCGCAGGGCGGCCCCGCGCAGGGCGGCGCCACGGGCCAACCGCCCAGCGGGCAGTCCCTCGGAGGCGGAGAAGGCCCGGGGAGCGGCGGCCCCGGCCTCGCCGGCGCAGGGGGAGGAGAGCGGGGCGGATACTGCACCTTCCCCCCCGGCCCCGCCCGGACCGTCCTGACGCGCGCTACGGGGCGGGCCTGCGCCGCCTCATGCTGCGCGGCTTCCACTCCGGTGCGGGCTGCAGCGGCTTCCTCGGCGGCACGGCCGGGGGTAACCCGGGCGGCGAACGCGGCACCCAGGTACGGCCGCGGCGGCAGCAGCGGCGGCCTCGGCCTCCGAGGTGTTAGCACTTCCGGTTCCTGGCGCTCGGCCTGGCGAAGGCGCGGCCGGGCCAAGAAGGGCACCGCTGTCCGCTGGGCGGGGTGCAGCGCCACAGCGCCGCCTCTCGGCCGGAGGAGCGAAGGAGGTGCGGGGTAGAGACGGCCGAGCAGAGCATAGACATGAAATCCACAGAGGAACAGCGCCTTACTCAAAGTCACAGGGTAAATTGTGGCGCCTCTGAACTCAATAAATATATATTGAGTGCCCGCTCAAAACAGACAAAACTCTTGTCCGTGTGCCAGGCAGAGAGAGCGTTAGACGCTGGGAGCAAACCACAGTAAATCCCTGCCCTCTCAATGAGACGACATTGAGAGGAAAGGGACTGGGGACTCGGGAGATGTGAGCGTCTCATGGTTGCGGTGGAAAGAAATCCGAACCTGGAGTCCCAAACTTGGCTCTAATATTAACTGGTGATCTTCCAGCAGATCACTCAATCTATCTGAGCCGTAACTTCTTTACCTCTAAAAGGGATATAATACATTTCACTTAATTGCAATTAAAGAAAACCGGCTGGGTGTGGATGGAGGCTCACGCCTGTAATCTCAGCACTTTGGGAGGCCAAGGCAGGTGGATCACTTGGGGTCAGGAGTTCGAGAGCAGCCTGGCCAACATGGCAAAAACCCATCTCTATCAAAAATACAAAATTTAGCCTGTCATGGTGACGGGCACCTGCAATCCCAGCTACTACTCGGGAGGCTGAGGCAGGAGAATCCCTTGAACTCGGGAGGCGGAAGTGGCAGTGAGCCAAGATCACCCCACTGCCCCACTGCACCCCAACCTGGGTGACAGAGTGAGACTCTGTCTCAAACACAAAACAAATGCACTCTAACACGTAAAATGAAGAAATTGGGGCCTAGGGGAAAGAAGTGAATGAGGTATCATAATCAGAGCCAGAGGCACGACCCTTGACCTGCAGTTTCTTTCCTCATCTACACTGTATATTGGCTGAGAAACAAGGAACCCAGGAAGATGTCCGGGAGAGTAGCGGATATACACAAAAACAGTGCAAAAGCTGGGCCTCCCCTATTTTCTATTATTAAAAAGAACCATGTGTCAGAGTTGTGTGTCATTAGGATTTATTATAATAGCATTAATAAAAAATCCATTTGGGTACTATGCTCCACTCCGCAGTATATAATTATTCGCTTTGAGATTAAATGAGCCTTCCCTCATGCTTTTTAAAGTTGAGCTCTCTTTAAAAAAAAAAAAGGCAAAGCCATTTGCCTTGGGTCTCTTCTATTAATTTTCTCCAAATGACCTGAGAGCAGATTTTAAAGGCTTTAAATGCACACGAACACACACAAACAAACAAACAAAATATGGAGAAATATATCTTGCACTTCATTTCATTAACCCAACAATTGTTTGCTGAATCTCTGCCTTATACCTGTCACTGTTCTAAGCAGTGGGGCCACAGTAGTGAACAAAGTAGATAAAGCCCTGTTTTGATGCAGTTTGTAGCCTGAGAAGAAGAGATACAGCCCCCTCCCCCCAAAAGTAAACAATTAAAATATATAATTTCGCCGGGCGCGGTGGCTCACGCCTGTAATCCCAGCACTTTGGGAGGCCGAGGCGGGTGGATCACGAAGTCAAGAGATCGAGACCATCCTGGTCGACATGGTGAAACCCCGTCTCTACTAAAAATACAAAAAATTAGCTGGGCATGGTGGCACGTGCCTGTAATCCCAGCTACTCAGGAGGCTGAGGCAGGAGAATTGCTTGAACCCAGGAGGCGGAGGTTGCGGTGAGCCGAGACTGCGCCATTGCACTCCAGCCTGGGTAATGAGCGAAACTCCGTCTCAAAAAAAAAAATATATATATATATATATATATATATATATATATAATTTCATCCATGTTAAAAAAGAGCCATGGAGAGATAAAATACTTAAATGCTTGTTTATATCAGATGACTTATTATAGATTTGACTAGATTGGAATTCAGGTTTCTTGATTTTCATTCTTATTTTCTTCTTCCTGGAATGCAGTGGCGCGATCTCAGCTCACTGCAACCTCTGCCTGCCAGGTTCAAGCGATTCTCCTGCCTCAGCCTCCAGAGTAGCTGGAACTATAGGCCCGTACTGCTACACCCAGCTAATTTTTTTTTTTTTTTGAGACAAAGTCTCACTCTGTCACCATGCTGGAGTGCAGTGGTGTGATCTCAGCTTACTGCAACCTCTGCCTCCTGGATTCAAGTGATTCTTGTGCTTCAGCCTCAAGAGCAGCTGGGATTACAGGCACGCACCACCATACCCAGCTAATTTTTGTATTTTTAGTAGAGACGACGTTTCACTATGTTGACCAGGATGGTCTTGATCTCCTGACCTAGTGATCCACCCACCTCGGCCTCCCAAAGTGCTGGGATTGTATTGTGAGCCACCGCGCCCGGCCGATTTGCATTCTTATTTTCAAATCCTGAGAAAGTTGTAGAACAGCTCCGCCATGAAACGCCGGCAGCCTTGCATGTATCCACGTAAGCTACATAGGCACAGACTTGAATCGAAGTGTCCCTGGGTCTCAGCAGAATGCTGTGTGAGGCTCCTAGAAAAGGAGAGAATAGGAGGCTGATGGGGACCTGGAGGCAGCCTCCCCTAGGAGGCAGTCAGGAGACAGCTCGACAGCTTCTCCTCTCCTCATGGTTTCTGATGAGGTGTGAGGCTTTCTTCCCACTCCCTCAGAATAGCACTGCTGAATACAAAAGTCATTTGGCCTCAGCCTAGAATTCGCTCCTGTTCAATGGGGTATCTCACAGCTCACGTTGCAGTCATCTGGGCCCTTTTGTTTCAGTTCAGTTGTCCCTTGGTATCTGCAGGGGATTGGTTCCAGGACTCCTGGCAGATATTAAAATCAGTGGTACTCAAGTCCCTGATATTAAATGGCATAGTATTTGCATGTAACCTATGCGCATCCTACTCTCAGATATTAATTTTTTGTGTGTGTGACAGTCTCACTCTATCATCCAGGTTCTGGAGTGCAGTGGCAGTATCTCAGCTCACTGCAACGTCTACCTCTCGGGTTGAAACAATTCTCCCACCTCAGCCTCCCAAGTATCTGGGGTTACAGGAGCCCATCACCACACCCAGCTAATTTTTGTCTTTTTAGTAGAGGTGGGGTTTCACCACATTGTCCAGGCCAGTCTCGAACTCCTGACCTCAAGCAGTCTACCTACTCTGCCTCCCAAAGTGCTGGGATTACTTACAGTCGTGAGCCACTGTGCCTGGCTGACTTTTTAATTTAATTTTATTTTATTGAGATGAAGTGTCCCTCTGTCGCCCAGACTGGAGTGCAATGGCACAATCTCGGCTCACTACAACCTCCACCTCCTAGGTTCAACCGATTCTCCTGCCTCAGCCTCCTGAGTAGCTGGGATTACAAGCACCCGTACTACACCTGGCTATTTATTTATTTATTTACTTAAATTATTATTATTATTATTATTTTTTTTTTTTTTTGAGATGGAGTTTCGCTCTTGTTACCCAGGCTGGAGTGCAATGGCGCGATCTCGGCTCACCGCAACCTCCGCCTCCTGGGTTCAGGCAATTCTCCTGCCTCAGCCTCCCGAGT